AAAACAGACAAATCCAAATATGTAAAAATATACAGGGTGTTCCATTTAAAAAAATAAAGTAGGTGGCGACTTCCGGTATAACCGGAAGTGCTAGAAATCTGAAAATATTTTAATCGAAGAGAACGCAATTGATAATACTTAAATCTAAATTTTCAAATTTCTATTTTGGCCAGAACTCTGTATAGTTCTAATGGACGGTCGTCGTGGATGACCCTGTATAGGTGAATAGGTATCGAACGATATAACAAAAAAACAGTTTTTTCAAAATATCTAGTTAGCCATGCATTTATTCCAAAAAACAAAAAGCTCATTAAATTGAGTTCATGAAACTGCAATTCTTCCCCTATTTAATCGTCTCTCTATCTCCGCTAGTTTTCGAGATCTCCATACTAAATATGGAAAAAACTCACGCTGTATATACCCTTGATTTGTGAGTTTTGTCACTAATCGTACAAATAAAATGAATAAATTTTATTTTTTTTATCTTATTTTTAGGGTTTTGGTTATGATCCTTATAACCCTTATTATCAACAATATCAAATGTACTATGAAAATATGCGTCGAACAAATCCCCAGGCTTACGCTGAATGGTATCGGAAATATTATCAGCAAGCAACTGGTGCGGCACCATCGAGTGCTTATGGTACAGAAGATAGAGCGTCCGTTCATTCGGGGCGTAGCTCAGCTAATGAAGAACTGAAAGAGAGGTAATTTTTAGATTGATTTAAATCTCAAAGAAAGACTACGATAAAAATCCGTTTGAGTGTGATTTGTGTTCTTTTTTATTTTTTTCTCTATTACAAAACGCAACCATCGCGCACAAATCATTTTTACACAGAAATAATACATTATTACACATATAAATCATTAATTAATTTGAAACACATGGAAAATAGAAATTTTTTGGTTACGGTTTCAAATTTCGTGTTTCATTCTTTTTGTATCTGTAGGTATTTGCGTCAGACTTATTATGGTCACACCGCGCTTCCGCACTTAGGCGGATACTACAGAGATGCGCACAGTGTTTCGGGCCAATATGGCCTTGACGAGTCTAGGTGAGGCTAAGAATTTACAAAATTATCTATTTTACCTCTTAAAAATACAGCGAATTTCATTTAAAATGCAATATACAAAAATATATTTCCATAGAAACCAGGGCGTACCCAAGGTAGATGAATAATATAGGTATGCTTGCACGTTGCACGAATTGGCTCTCATGCGTCATCAACTATTGTCTACTATTGTAAGTGTAGGTTTGTTTACAATGGCTATGACGTGGTTATGACGTGCGATTTATCTTCCTTGGGCGTACTTACTTACTTTGTCCCACATAAAATGTAACATGTCTGAATTTTTCTGGTTGTGACTTGTAGGTCTAATGTTAGTTCTAGTGACAGTGCTAGGTAGCGCTAGTTAACATAAGATATCACTATGTTCCATATTTTTATATTATTATTAACTAACACAAGACCTAGAACTAGAATCATTCGGGTTTAGCCGTCTTGAGAGACGTGCGGCTGAATCCGAATGTTTCTACTTCTCGTAGAGATGGAAAAAAATTACTATGGAAGACTTATTTATGACATTTAGAATATACCTATTTCACGTAAAAACAAAGAACAAAAAATCTTTTCATACAATTATTAGTTCGAATCTAATGAAGGTAGTTCTGGTCCAAATTACTGCATTCAATCACTTCAATATCAGAAAGGTCTTCATTGCCTTCATTAACCTTTACATTGGTGGCAGAATCTAATAATTTTAAATTACGAACAATAAAAGTTATTTTACCAGCTCCTTCAGCCCAAGTCAATTTCTATAGGCCGTGTGGATAAGCTGTAAGTTCTTTCTGTTGCTGCACTTGACGCAGGCATACTTAGTATCTTGAGCGCTACTTTACTTAATGTCGACCCAAAACAAGTCCCCTTCCACCGTACAATGGAATGTAGTGTTTCCACGGATTTTAAAACATAGTTTTTCAAATAACCCTTCTTTAGATCGATAAAGGGCCAATTCTGCCATTACCTCTGCAAACTCATGGGCTTGTTACAGTAGCCATATTGTCTATTAACTCTGTTCCTTGTATTTGTTCTTCTCTATTAAGATTAATTTCATTAAAATTTGGATCTAGAGCATTTGCAACAAGATGGAATGGATTTATTCACATTTGCTTTCTGT